GAACAAAACTGAAGTAACGGTATTGGTATCAAAGAATATGGTTTTGGTTTTAACACTAAAAAAATCGAAATAATTGGTACGGTACAATTTTTTGAAAAAATCGGAAAAAACCGAACCGTGAACACCCCTATGTGACACAGGATGTGTGAATATGTTGAATGACTTTGCATAGCAACCATAACATGTTACACAAGTATTACAGGTGAGGGCAATGGAGCAGTTATAGTTGGGGTCGCAGTAACTGACATCTTCTCATGTCCTTCATGTACGAGAGAGTGTTGGCCGCTACGTTGCTGTTATACCTTACTTAGTCAGATAAGAGGGGTGGAGTGTGACAGATGATTTGTTGAAAAATGCAAACTAATGACAACTCTCATGGCCTTAAATGAGAAGTTGCAATTTGAAGATGGTACTGAAAAAGTAAATGCAAAATTGTTTAGAAGTCTTGTTGGATCTTTGATCTATATTACTAATACAAAACCTAACATTATTCATTCCATGAATTATATTTCTCAGTTCATGAACGAGCCAAGCAAGCTCCATTTTACTACAACAAAACAAGTTCTGAGATATCTCCAAGGTACCAAGAAACAAGGCATCAAGTATAAGAAAGAAGAAATAGTAATTCGATCAATTTCACTAATGGTGTTTGGGCTAGATCACTAAATGATTCAAAGAGCACTTTAACATGTGTTTTTTGTCTTGGTTCAAAGGTGATTTCATGGAGTTCTAAAAAGTAAAAGACAGTTGCTCTATTCTCAAGTGAAGTCGAATGCAGCTTTTTAAGTAGTTTTTCTAAGAAGAATTCTCTTGGATTTGCAGCAAAAGCAAGAGTAAGCTACTATTCCTTTTTGTGATAATATGTCAACCATTGCAATGGCTTCAAACTCTAGCATCATTTTATTCGTGATCTTGTAAACAAAAGAGAAATTAGCATAGAGTTCATTAACACCAATGAACAAGTGGAAGTTCAAGAAACAACTAAAAATTACAAATTAAGACAGAGTGTTGAAAATATAATTTGTATCTTTTCTAAGTAAAAATATAAGAAATAAGTCTTGACTCTTATTATTTGGTTGGCCAAGAAAACTGTTCATATTTTTATGTGTTTAGAATTTGTAGAGGAGAAATCTACATATTTTACAAGTCTTAAATGTAGTCTATAATATAGCAGTCAAGTTGTACTTACAAAAAATAAGAAAAATTCAAATAAAACAATAAAAAATTCTGCAGTAAAAGTCTCTTACATATGTCCACCGAAACCTATTCACTTACTTCTCTCTTCCACTCAAAAATATCCCAACAAAAGAAACTGGAGAAGTGAAAAACAGAGGGTGCCATGTTTGGCAGCAAGGAAATCTAGTTCAGGTAGTAGATGAAACTCAAATTTATATTGTAAGCTGGTAAAACTTGATGCTCAAGTTTTAACTATCAGGTTTATAAAATACCAAGCTGAAGTTTCATGGAAAGGTACTCACTTCGTCTGCTCAAAAATTGGTATTTCTTGTAAATAAAGTCTTTCTAGACCTAGTCCGTGCAGTTCTTATTTACTAAATATCTGACGCAACAAACCAAAGCATATCTCATCAAGGACCAACACAGCAAATTTAAGTAGTAGATTATAGAATCGTCACCTTCCTAAAATTTTTCATTACTTCTTCTATTTAAGAACCGAAGTATATAAGAACCGTGCATATGCTATTGTTAATCAAGTGTGGCTTTGTTTTCGATATTTGTATTCTTAAAAAATAATTTAGCGTTATTCAGTTTAAAATCATATGAGTTTGTCTCAGTGCATGTCTTTCCACTTGTTTGATTCAAATTTCCCTTGGAAATGAACTAATTATTTTTATGCTGGAAATGTTTTATTATTTTCTTGGCAAGGGAAGTGGACAAAACAACTGACCAACTAGAAATAAAGGAAACAAAAAAATGAATGAAAGTCAAAATAAAATAAGATCTAACTAGCGTTTAGTCTACTCCCAAGCTTAAGCAATTAATCACCTTCCATCCAAAAAGTTATTTGATTTATGTTGACATGACATGGCAATGTTTAGTGAATACATTTTTTATTATTATAAAAGGGGTTGAAATTTAAGAGAGAGAAAAAATTATAAAATAAATTCTTAAAAAATATGAACTTTCAACGAATCAGGGTTAAATGTTATCTTGACTTGACCGGGGGAAGGCTCGATATGCTATATCAAGCACTTGGATATCTAAACCCATCCTAACCAAATAATTTACACAATCATTAGTCTCTCTAAACACATATTTCACCTCAATTTGCTAGTTTTGTTGGAGGAAAGATTTTATTTTGAACACAATAGAACCAAAAATATTATTATATGAACGTCTTTCCTCAATCATCTCTACAAGAACTTTCCTAAAACCCCAGTCTTAAGCCATGTTTAGACCCTCTCAAGCTCTCCAGGCATCAGTTGCAATTGCATCTGCACTATCAATGAAATTGATGAAACCTCCAATCCAATGTTTTCGCGAATACTTTATTTTATTTATTTATAGCTCAAATATTTAAAAATAAAAAATTTTGATTAATAAATCACACTTTTTCATCTCCTACTCTGTAAGTTTACTTCGATTCTAGTCAAGTTCACTCAACTAAACAAGTATAAATATTATCAAACTAGCAATGAAAAACTACATTTTATCATTCTCAGGGACGCATGCGTTCTATTAATTCCCAGAGGAGACGATAAATATTGGAAGGGCATGGTTAGTTAAACTAATTAAGCCCAACATGAGAGATACATAACAAATCTCCAAAAGGTGATTCTCTGATCTCTCTTCTGGGGATGAAAAATATAAATCAGTCATTGACCATGCCTCTTTTATAATATTCTAAGTGCAGGAGTAAGATATTTATTCACAATCTTAAGTTTTGAGACTGACAGAGTGTAAATCTTATAATTAGGAAGGGCAACGGGCAAGTACTAATATATTAATTCTTATATCTGATAAAAAAAAATTTATTTTCCTACTTGTCTTTATACTTGATTGAGTATTAATATTAATCCCTATTTTTATCTTGTTAGATAGTATTACATTCGTTGCCTCTACCTATAACCTCATTTAAATATAATTCATATTAAAAATAATATATTTATGATATATCAAGTATTTATTCAAATATATGTTTATATTATACTAAATACAGGACGAGTTACATACTATGATCCTTATCATCCTCGTACTTGAAAAATTCCCAAACTTATCCCCATTCCCATTTTGTAGTATTGTTACTTAGTTCTGATCAAACAAAGTTTGCAAGTACCTGTCAAGTGAATAAAATTGCCATCCTTACTTCCAACCCAAAAATTATGGACAAAATCTTGTTTCCCATAAATTTCTGATATATAAATTCAATATTTCGAATGAGGATTGGGATCAATCCTTGTATCTCTAGGATAAGGAAAAGTGTGCTTACATCACACAAATATGAACAAAAATATAAAAACTCTTGTTCATTTCCATCCTTTAATTCCTCTACTCTTTGGGTTTTTTAACCAATCAATTTAAACTTTCAAATATATTTATATGGGTAAATTTATATTACTATTTGTAAAAATTTTATCTACTGAAATACATTTTTGAAATATTTTTACCAACATGTGTTAAAAGCTGTTTGTGTTAAGAAACTGGGTCATAAGCATCCAAATTCTGGGAAAAAAATTGAGACTTGGGAACCCAATTTCAGTAGGACTAGGCTCTTGAGAACCAATTTTAATTAGTCTGGAAACTTGATCACAGAAGGAAGATCTATTCCCTGATAACCGATTAGAGTGTTGGTTTAATATTTGTAGAGCTCCATCCAAGATGGGGTTCTGAGAGCTCGTCATCCAATGGGAGTTGTACAACAAAACTCTTTTAATTTTAAAAGAACTAAAATTTTCCAACTAATCATTTCTGCAGATAGAAGAAGCCTACATAAACATTTGCTTAAAATCTTACAACTATTAATAATTAGGTCAATCTATGATTTAAGAATTTATTTCCTTGTTTATTTATTTTTGAAAAGGATTGTGGAGAATTTATTTGGGACAATAAATTCTTCCAAAACTTTAAAAACAAAAATAGCTCACCAGGGTATATCGAATGCTTAGAAAAAGCACTTAAAAATTTCAAAAGAACTTAAAATTTCTATTCTAGGCTTATGACCCAACAAGACGGCGGTCGACGGCAAAAAAAGTCAGCCAGCATTAGAGAGGCTTATGATCTGCCATAAACGGCTGCAAACTAGAAATTTGGTTCACGGGCTCTCTTTCTAAATATTTTTATTAAAAAGTTTATCGATTCAAAAGTTACTACCTATATATAAATAAGAAGAGATCAATTAATACTAGGTGTAAAAGTAAAAACTTACACCATATTTTACACCATTGATTTAGTCAAAATTAACGGTATAGATTAATTACAAATGATTTAAAGGTAAATTAATTACTATAAACTATTAATTTTGACTAAATTAATAGTGTAAAATGTGGTATAAATCTCTTATATTTATACTTGACGTCAATTGATCTCTTCTCTAAATATATTTATAATAAATTTCAAACTCAAAGTCTTACACCTTTTACTAAGGCCAAGCGAAAACTTTCCAAAGTTTTAATACATTACCCACCAACAAAACTTTTCTAATCTGTAAGTACAAAGGTAAGGGGCTGTCAAACAAAAACTACAAAGATGAGGGTCTATAAAATAATATATAAATGCTATGTAGATCCTTACAATTGTGTCTATGCCTAAAGAATCCGGTTACTCTTGACATTTAAGGGATTATCCGCAGTCCAAAACATAAACAAATTAAACTTAAACAGGAGAATTAAGCATCAGCAATTTCTGCAAGACCTCAATTACACGAAGCTTCGCGATCATTCAGTAGAGGAAGACAACGTGAACTTTTATTTCAAGTTCTAAAACCCATTTACTGTAGAGCTATACCAAGAGAAGACTAAAACGTGTGCATGTACAACCTTTATTCAACGCGCCATTTCAATGCTCGTATAGGTTATTGATGGCTCACCAGAACTAGTTGATGCACTCGGCGCATGGTACACCGGCACAGGCATCTTTGTGGGAAGACTCGGCATCGCCGCCTCAAAATTGAGTACATGCATTGCTTGCCTTATCGACGGCCTCAAGCTCCGGTCTGGGTGGGCACACCACAGCCCGACAATCATCAAGCACTCCACTTGTTTGGCATCAAAGTTCGTGTGGAGCCTCTCATCCACACACGACTGTAGCTGTTCTTTTCCATACAGATCCCATACCCACTCCACCAACCCAATTTGAGAATCCCCTTCCAGTGGATCCAATGATTTTCGCCCTGTAGCAATCTCTAGCGCCACCACCCCGAAGCTAAAAACGTCCGACTCTTTACTTGCCCTGCGTGTGCGAATATATTCCGGCGCCATGTACCCAAAAGTCCCAGCTAGGCCAGTTGTTTGAGGACCTACTTCGTGGTCCATGAACCGAGCTAACCCGAAGTCTCCAAGCTTGACGTTGAAGCTCGAATCTAGCATTACGTTGCTGGACTTAATGTCCCGGTGTACCACACATTGCTCCCACTCTTCGTGGAGATAGAGCAAAGCAGAGGCTAAACCAAGAGCTATCTTGTACCTCACAATCCAAGTGAGAGGACTCCTATTCTTACTGAAGAGGTGGTTATCGAGGCTTCCGTTTGGCATGAACTCATAGACTAGAAGAAACTCCCCGCGCTCGTGGCACCAACCCACGAGCTGCACCAAATTTCGGTGCCTTAATCGGCTGATAATCTTCACCTCTGTTATGTACTCCTTTCTCCCCTGCTTAGACCCTCTCGAGATTCTCTTCACGGCCACGGCCATGTCCATGTCCAAATCATTGAGGTAGCCCTTGTAAACTTCTCCAAATCCTCCCTGACCCAGCTTTCTTTCGCTCGAGAAATTGCTAGTCGCGGAAGATAGATCTTTGTAAGAATACCTCCTGGGTCCCGCGGCTCTCTCGAGATCGTAATTGATCGATGTCAAATTATCTCTCTCTGTTGTTGCTTCTCTATTAGTATGCTTCCTCTTCCACGAAACTATAGATGCTATGATCGCCACCAAAACCAAAATACCAACCGGAACAGTAACACCCACTATTACTTTGTTTCTTTTAGTAATATTCCCACTTGCCTCTGGTGTATCTAGTGTTGAATTGAACTCCCATGACTTCAGCCTATGTCGCTCTACGTACTGACCCGTAGCAGCTGAAAATCCAACCTTCACCCACTCGGATACAGCCTCCCTGAGGTCAATCCGGTAAGAAAGACTAGAATTTACGGGAGGTGTTGGAGTTGCATCATAGGACCAGAACACGCTGAGATTTTGAGTGCTTGCGTTGTAGGTGATCCAAACGTTGGCTGTGTCCCCGCTGTGAAGGCTAGCGTTCCAAGGAGTGGTCACAGCAGAAGATATCGAATTGTTGTTGATCCCAACATGTTCATACGAAGGATCCCATCCAGTATTCCCAAATGAATCAAACCCAACCGTAACTATCTGGTTCTTGGGTGAATCGCTAGTGGTGGTGTTGAACAAGCCCAGGAAGCCACCGGCTGAGTTGGGTGGGATGTCGAAATCAAGAGGCGCGAGGAAGAAGACGAGTCCATGGCCGTAATTTTCCCTACCTTGTGTCTCGATTATGAATGAGTAATGGGTGGTGAAGTCGGTGAGCTTTTTGGTCCCCAAGTCCCAGATGCGGACCCTCTGAGCATAGACGGCCCAGCCTACCCGGTTTATGTAATTGACTTTGTTAAACTCAATCTCTCCAACAGAAGGTATTGCATCCCCTTCACAAACTATGTCGGTTGCACTGGGATCAAAGCGATTTAGCTGGAAATGAATTGAATTCACTGAGGGATTAAGGAAGAAGAAGACAGAGAAGAAGAGAGCAAGATAGGCATGTAGAGACGTGAACAAGGTTGCAAGGTGGCAGGCAAAGGCGACCATGACCGGGATTGGAAAAAGGAGACAAGCAAGTATATATTTATTTTAATAATTATTTACAAAGTTCAAGTCATTCTTTTATTGTTTTCAGAAATTTGCCTCCCTTTCAACAATAGTCTTTTGAGTATCAAACAAGGCGGGTAGGTTTAACGTGGGCATCAAAGATTGACCAGTTTCTTCTGTATAAAAAGAAGAAGTTTGAATCTACAAAGTGAAAAACAAGACATATCCTGTTAAATAATAAAAATAAATTATAAATATAAAGATAAAAATTATATTTAATATATATATATTTATAAATTATACAGTTTGATTCAGTTTATACAATTTACCTAAATGTCAAATATTAAACTAAACTGTATAAAAAAATCTTTTTCCAAATCAAATCAAACCAAACTACAATTTTATCGGTTTAAATGGTTTAGTTCGATTGTTGAATACCCCTATATTTCTACACAAAATAGATAATTAGCCATAATGAATAGTCAGTCAAACAGATCCTCTATGTGTTTCACGCGTACAACCTTTAATTTTACCAAACATAGTTTTTCTTCTTTTACAGTTGAAAATTGATTCCAATCCAACAACAAAAATGAAAAAAAGAAAAGTATAAGTTCAGGTTAATCTTTGTCACCTATGTATTAATTACCCAAAATTTTTACAAACATGAAAATTGATCGGTTGGGTTAGAAATTCTCCCATTGGAGCTTGACCTTGACCAACAATTGTCGACTCCTAAATTAGTTCCTTTTTGTGCTTTCTCTAAATAACTCTTTAGAAACTATCATGTTATATATATATATATATATATATATATATAGCAAGACAACTTGCAATAGTAGGGCCATTTAAATTGAAAAATAGGTGCACCATTGACATTATTCTAATTTTCCATTCACTTGAGAGGCTTTTGCTAACTTTGAAAAAGTGGAATTTTCTAAGAATTGACAATTGCTTTGTGTGCTTTTAAAAGTAAGTCAAGGTTGGTGAGAAAATTTTGGGAAGACCACTACTATTTTCCACAACTACTTTGAATGCTTTTAAAAATAAGTCAAGGTCGACCAGAATATTTTGAGAAGGCCACTAATATCTTCTAGCTTTCATATTTTAATTCCTTTGTTTACTTGGCAGACTTCTAGTCATTTAGAAAAGTAGCATGCTTTATGAGTCTGACAAAAATTGAATCTATATATTGAATCTTCTAGCATGTTTTAAGAATTGGTCAATGGTCGTTACTTAAGATATTGGGAAAATGCATTATATATTTTTCACAATAAGTAGATAGTCACGAAGACAAAACACAATAATATTCTATGAATAATTTTTAATTTTATTAGTTTGTAGAAAATAAAATAGAGTGAAACAACAATCTTGTTTAGTTTATGTGATTACCACTTCCATATTTTCACTAAAATTACTCAAAAAATGACTATTTCTCAATTTACTCTTCTTATTAGTATAAATAAGAGTGATCTTATTATAGAATTTTAGTTATAAATTTGTTGTGTTATTTTGTAGAGATTTTAGTTGTCAACTTTTAGTAAAAGAAAAAAATAAATGAAAATAATGGGCCACCATACAAATTCAAAAAGAAAAATGGCCAATTATCACATACCCTTAATTGAGAAATAATTTTCTACAACCAAATCGGTTCACCCACAACTATAAATACCAAGGAAGAAATTTATTTCTTTTTCTTCATTTTCTTAGGATACAATTCTAATTTTTATGTTATTAGTCCTACCATTTTTGATAACAAAATTTAATACATAAATATGAAAAAAGTTCATACATGTCAAAAAATTTAGTAAATTTCATAAAATTTATAAATAATTATTTAATTCTAAAAATTAACTGAAATGAATATAAATTTTAGATAAAATAAATTTCAACTATTAGTGAATGCTGAAATAATTGGGTTAAGAATTCTCTCCCGGCTAGCATAATCTTGATTATTAATTATATAACCTTGAGAAAGTTATACAACTACAATTGATTGACAATAATTTTGATGCGACCAAAACTATTTTTAATAAAATAATAACATCTTTTAAAGCCTCATAAACTATTATTTGAAAAGTTAATTAATGGTTAAATATGTTAATTAAAATTTTGAAAGTGTAGGACTTATTGTGTTACAATTAAAACTATGAAAATCAAAATGGGACACAAATAAAATTTTTCCAAACTTATATAATTTTTTTATTTTGTTCGTCTTGTACTCCAACAGAAAGCAACCGAATTATTTCAATCCAATAGCCAATCAAAGGGGTCCTGTCCACCGTGTATCCTTTAGTTTTATCAGACATATCCTTTATTCTTTTTTTTTTTTTTTGATAAAAGCTAATTCCAATAAAAAAATAAATGAAAATGTATATATATATATATATATCAAGTTTCAATCTTTCTCACTTACATATTAATTATCCAAAATTTCCACAAACATTAAAACTTATCAATTGGGTTGAGAATTTTCTCACTTATGCTTGACCTTGACCATTAACCTTTTAACATGGAAAAACTATACAAATACCTCAACAATAATTTTAGTTTGACAGGAGCAATTGCTTGTGGCCCACAAAATATTTCAAAACTTTTGTGAACCCTTTGAAAAATTAAGTTACCAATTAGGTATCTTCCACCTAGTCATCTCCAATTACATATTTTATATGAAGAATTTTATCTTTTCTGAAAACTTAATATTTTCAGAAATTTCATTTTTCTGCTAAAGATTGTTACTTTTATTTTGTTACTTGATATATATATATATATATATATGATGTTTAATTATTCTTCTCAATATTTTTAAATCAACTTTAATAATCATGATAATATTTTGTTAGATATATAGATATTGCATATGCCTTTTTGTTTTTCTTTTCACTATTGTATATTTAAGTTTTCCCTCTATTTTAGTAATATGAAATTGCTAGTGCTTAACAAGGAACTTATCTCTCACTGTTATTTTCATCAGAATAAACCCATTTTCATTATTAATTTTTTTTCTCACTCTTATACTAAGTAAATGAGCAAATTGAGGCCTAGACTAGGACCAGATCAATGAAAACTCAAAATATTTAATAGTAATTAGATGTTGTGGATCAAATATAAGATATCTACATCTATAAGACAAATCCAAATCTAGACCTTCAAAATATTTTTGAAAATTTTAAAAATTTTGCTGTACTTGCATCCTGCGAATAAGCAATGTTAACATGTGAATGCCCTCATACAGAGGAGTTAAAAGGCCTATTTCATATGAGATTGAGGAAGAGACTTAAAAAAGGACCTTTGTATTTTTTATATTGTGAAACTCATTTTATTTTACGACCCAGTAAGGTTTGGGAAAAACTTTTATAATTTCTAGGATTTGGAATTGTAAGGAAAGATTCTTTAGCAGCTTGTACTCGTATTCTCTTTCATAATAAAATTTTCTTACTCCACTCCTGTCTGAGGACATAGGCTATCTTGGCTGAATCTCGTTAAATCCTTGTATTATTCTTTTTATTGTTGATTGTGTCACAACAGTAATCATCTTTCCATTTTGAGTTCAACAAAACACCTTTCTATATTTTGAGCATAACTTTTGTTAAAAAGCTCGAATTAAGCCAATTCAAAAAGCTCTGAAAAGCTAAATTAAAGCTCTACAACTTTCATATTTTGGCCCAAAATTGGATTCTAGAAATAATTTTAATCAGCCCAATATAGTGAGCCTAGAAATCTATCTGATTGCCTAGCCATGGAGCTTATTTTTGTCCTTTTGAGAAAAGCACTTGTGGAGAAGCCATGAGCTAATTTTCACATGAGGGAGATGATGTGCAGATTCAAAATTCAAATCCTCCCTCCATTCGTTCTTTAGTTCAAGGAGGATTCTTCTTGCTATGTTAGGAAATCCTAATTTAGAAAGCTAAACAAAATAATTGAGCCTAATTGCTGAATCTAGGGGAGCTCTTGCAGTGGTTGAACACATGCATTTTCGGTTGTTCCAAGCTGTTTCATCCATTTTGAAGCTGCTAATCTGCCAAGACAACTTGTACAACCCCTCAATGCTTGCAATTTGAATTTTGAACTAGAAATACAAGCATGCTCTCCTTGGCGCCTTCTTATTTCAGTCAAGCATTTCCATTTCTATCTAGAAGCTGATTGAAGCGGTCAAACATATCCATTTCGAGCTGTCCAGATTCTGAATTGAAGCTTCCAACTCACTGAATACAAGATACAACTCCCTCAATCTCTCAATTCAAAATTCAAACTAAGAATACAATCCGAATGCACATTGGCGTCTATTCAATCTAAACGATCCTTTCCATTCTTGCTTGAAGCTAATTGCAGCAACCAAATTTAAAGGATCTAAGCAATTCAAAGCCTCATTTGAATCTGAAATCAAACCTTGTAAAATCACTTAATGCATTTACAATCAATTTTACATGAGCTCATGCACACTTAGCCAAATCACTTCCCCTCAATTTGGATTAAGCTATTAAGAATATGAAAAAGTGAAAAGCTGGATCATGCAAGGAACTAATTTCGAAATTTAAGAAGGATTACTTGGATGCTTATCATCTTGGGACCATACACCATGAACTCAAGTCAAAGAGGAAGGGAGAAGAAAGAGAAGAAAAGACCATTCAAGGCTTGACCTTAAAGCAAGTGCGGTGCATTGGGGCTTTGCAAGTGCAATTGGGGGCCACCAATTTTTTGACTGTCTTTACTATCCTTTCAGTTTGAGCATTCTTTTTATATGAACAATTGGTTTTTGTATCAAGAAGCTTGAGTTGTAATTACTTCTCTTGCTTATAATTAGTTAGTTTTTCAGTTTTATAAATTCTGAAATTTGCTTTCTAGTTGAAGGTGCAACTTGAAGATAAATTTTAGGGTTATCCATTAATAGTAACTTGTAGGTGTGACTAGGTTATTGTTAATGCACTTTGGAAGCTTAAACTATTCGGTTTTTGATTGCTGGTGCAATATAGGGTTAGAATCTGAATTTGTTTACTCCTTTG